AACATGTATTTCAACGGTGGGTAAAACTAATCTACATGGACTCACACATGCTGTGCAGGACAAAGCAACCAGGGCAACATCTGTGCTCAGTGCTTCCAGGAGCCAGCATGTGGTAGAGAAAATGAGACAAGTGAACTAGATGGGACGTGGGTTGTCTAGGTGGGGGACTCCCGGGACCAACCAGCAAACTACAGCTGCGTGAACTTGAGGCCCAAAGAAAATATCCAAATTTGGATATGAAATTCCACACTCCTTTAATACAGTGTGGACCTAGACAGTCCATCCCTGTGCTAAACTGGCTTGTGGGTGGCCACTTGTGACCCTTGCTACAGCACTTGGGAAATGCCCCGTGAGAACTGCACTATGGCGGCCCAGTGGCGATCACAGCTGGGGAAACACAAGGGGAAGTGTTCTTCTTTAACCATTATTTTTTAAATTTTAAACATTAAAAAAACAACAATGAAGACTAAAGCAAAACAACACAAAAACAACAAAAATGATACATGACCTCAAAACCAAATGATAGGAATTAACAATGGTTGTTACATTACATACTGTTATCTTCCACAAAGTTGCACAGTCCACCAGACTTAAGAAGGTAAGATTGATCAAACAATCAAAGACAGTAATAAGTAATAAAAAAAAAAACATTGGAAATGATGCAGAGCTTCCCCATACAAGATGGCAGGAGTTCAACAACGGTTCTTATACAGCATATTGTTATTTTCAGCCCAGTCATTCTGATTACCAGATTAAAACGTGCAAAATTGGTTAAGAAAGAAGAAAATTTTAAGCATTGACTGTTCCTTTCAATAAACCACAGCCATCAGCAATACACCTAGTCCAGCTATCCTTATATATACGTATAAATTTTGTTTTTCAGTTAAAAAAAACCCAAAACAACAAGAACAAATACATAAACAAAACAGCACTGAGAACAATAAAAATGATGCAGAATTTCTTGCATATGCCATTCTCTCTGCCCACACGGCATTTGCTTCTCCTCCTTTGCTGTCCTCACCCTTTCCCTCCTGGCAAACTTCTGCTTAGCTTTAAAACTCAGTTCCCCATCACTGCCTGAAAGGCCAGTCTTGTGCCTTAAAGTCCCTAACAAGCCATACAAATCGCTGTATTAGTACTTACAACATTAAATTTTAATTTTCTCTTTATAGAACAGTCTGTCTCACTAGGGCAGGGAATGTGTCTCACTTTTGTCTGCATTTCTGGTACTTAACATCATCCCTGGGTTTGAATAAGGGCTCAGAAATGCTTACTAAAGAAAAGGAAGACTTTTTAGATAAAAGGGTTTCTTAAAGTGTGCGAAATCCTTCCAGGGCCTGATCTTGAATATTTTGATCCAGGAAGTAGAGAGTCTACCCCTGAGTGTTGCTTTAAACAAGTTCTCTTGGTGAATCTTATACACAGTGCAATTTAAAGACCTCTGAGCTAAACTCTGGGCCCCACAAGGAAAGAGGCTACAAGGCGTGAGCCCTTGTATTCATGGCATTGGGCCTTTCATTCCTAGCATCTAACAGAGTGCTTGGTGTAGACATTCAACATGTACTTGCTAAATGAATGAATGAATGAATGGAATGATGAATAAATGATGAATGAATGAACAAATTAGCAAATGAATGAAAGTAAGGCTTAAGTTGCCACAGTTCTTCTCAGACTTTGTACCGGAACCCTAATAAGCACTTCATTCCTTTCTCTCTCTGTACTTACCATGAGGACACCAAGGCAGGCTTGATATCTGGCTAATAAATGCCTACTTTATGGGCATCCTTACCACCTCTATCTTTGTCAGCTTAGAAAAGTATTCAGAGGGGATCCCAAGGCACTTAAGTTGCAGGTTCAATCACTTTACCCCTTCATGATAGTAGACAGAGAAAGCGAGAAGGATTTGATGCAAAGAAGATAGCAAACTGTCTCCTCAGCTAGTAATATTAGTAATGCTCTTCTTCCACCTTTCCTGCACCCCTTCCCTGTAACCGTGAGCCTTCCTTTAAAATCCTTCGTTGTTAAACATCTAGTAGGAGCAATTCCTATTACACTTCATCTCTCTTCCCTTCTCCACCCTCTGGTGGAAGGATAATGAATAGCAAAATACACAGGGGGAAAAATCAAGTGACAGCAAAAATTATCTTAAAAAAACACAAATATTTAGCATTTTCTGGAGACTGATGCAGTTGCTTTAAGGCATTTAGTAATTTGTATTTTATAAAGCACACAAAATTGCATTTGAAAATTATACTTTTCTTGGTTTTCCATACATGATTAATTAACCCATTCTGTCCCAAAGCTACTCTACTCCCTTTGCTGTTCTTACTCAGTTTGAATCAGAGGACATGTACAGCTTTCCCACACTTGTGGACTGAAATGAATATACTCTGAGAGGTTCCCTAATTTTACATGAAAGTTAACAAAGACTCCTCAAGGCAGGGCAGGAATTACACCCCTCATGTGTCAGCTCAAATTGCCAATACTCCCTCTGATTTTTAAAACCAAAGAGAAGAGGTTAAAAGCCTATGCACAAAATACCATAAGTGCTTTTTCAAAAATCCCTACCCCAAGAGTCCCCTACTAGAGTGTATGCTACTTGAGAGCCAGAGCATTTTATCATCTCTGCATTTCCAAAGCCCATCTGAATTCCCAGCTTTGAAGAAACATTAAAGACTAGCCAAATGAACAAGGCAGGTCTGGAAAGCTGTACACAAGTATATAGCAGGCATCACGTTCAGTAACCCAGAGCCATCTATTCCAGGCACACTGTTTGTAATGGTAACATTGCCTGTACTGTACTTCTACCTCCAGAGTCAATATCTAATGGCTCTATTAGAGATCGTGTCTTAGGTAGTGAAGATAATGGTATGGAAACACCACCTTTTGTCTTAGAACATTTCCTTCTATTTTTATCTTTTACTATCTTTTCCTGTCAGTCAACTTCTTGACACCAGGAGAGCAGTTAACATCTCTTCCCATCGGGCTCTGCCATAGACAGGTCTCAGTGAGTATACACGCCAGCCATTTGTTCTTTTTGATTCTCTAAGCAAGTAAACCTTGAATAATGAACCTCTTTAGAATATGATAAAGGGTATAGAGACTCTGTCCAGGAAACATGTTAATACTTGCATGTACATACAAAAGATTATTCATAATCTTAGGTGGTTTAGAGGCACACTGAAACCCACACCCAAATCCTTCACAGACCCTTCTCTGAGCCATATGTAAAAGAATGGGAGGTTATCTGATAGTTAAATACCTACTCTATATTATTCTAAAGGCTACATAAACTGCATTCAACAGTTAAACTTTTGCATTTTTTAAGAATACTGAGAATTCAGTAGGCAAGATTTTCACTCTTAGCATTACCAAAGTGTGGCATTGCTGTGTTGTTTATCAACAACCCATTCTTGGGTAAAACCACAAATACAGTTTGAAAAGCTATCAATTTTTCCTCTTAGTTGCTGCATCAAGCCACTGTTTTACAAGACCCTGAACATTCCCTTTCATTGCTTGGATCATCTCACGATATCAGATGAAATTACTACAAGGATCCGTGTATTTTTCACGGTGCACAGGAACATGGACCTGGAGATCACATGACCACTATTTATTTCCCAGGTGACCTAGTAAGTTACATAACCTGTTGCTGCCTCAGTTTCCTCAAGTCTAAAATGAGGACAACATAGAGTTTTCCATAAGGTTCCTGTCAGGATTAAATGAGCTAACACATGAGAAAAACAATTAGTGCATTACATGGGCTGTGGCCAGTGCTTAATAAATGGTAATGAATGCTGCTGTAAATGTCTATGAAATACTTATCATAGTTCTTGGTGCCCTATAAGTCCTGAATAAATGGAACCTGGCATAATTATAATTTTTGCATTGATGTCATCATTATCTTATGAGCTGCCCTAGGAAGAAGGAAATTCTGCATTCTCATTTTGAGACCTCAAAGCATACACAATTCAAATCATTGATCCCTCAATGTGGGAATGTAAGAGAGAGATGAAAGACATGGTCCATGCCTTCAACCATTCACAGCTCAGCTGAGCTCACCATGCCAATAGTGCCAATTTAAAACCAGGGGTGCCAATCCAATCCAATTTTGATTCCCAAAATGTTCTTGGGCACTCTGCTTACCCTTTCCTGCCCTGAATTCCCAGTTGAGCTTAATTCATAGAAGGTGAAGTCTCTACTGATTAATTTTTACACTCTCATCTGACATCAAATGGCAATCATACAACCAACCGCACAAACTTCCTTCTCAGTCCTAGCTGCCAGAAAAACTCAGAATGGTATTTATTGCCCACATTGTACAATCCATTCCATCCCGATTGCGCCAATATAGCAGTTCTTCTTGAAGTCACCTATGTTCTGCTTTATGCTCAAAGGCTGTCTTATAAGCTGTGTAAACTTTTCAGATTTTTTTTATGTCTACAAACTGTGTCTTAATGAATCAACCACTTCAAGCCATTTTGGAAATAATCAGGGCTCCATGTTTTAATAAGTATCAGTTACTTCCCAAAACAGGAAAGCAGATATCCAACTTCTCATCTACCTTTTCTTATCAAGCTATGGGGATATTTTTCTCCCTTTAGCTTTCAGACAGAAATGGCTTGAGAATTTTAAACACATTCTGCTAAAGTCAGAGCCTTTAATTCTGTATGTCTCAGAATTTCCTATGTGTGAAGATCTCTCTGCTGAACCAGAAAACCAGCGAGGTAGGGGAGATACAGTCCACCCAAATACCCATCAAGCTGGCATTTAAAGTTCGCTGACAGTGAAAAAGCAAACCCATTCCATGAAGCATAGCAGGATCTAAATACCAACTGCTGGAATCACTCAAAAGGCCCTGGAAATGTTTCTTGGAGGGATTTCTCTTATGAAGACAAATGACAACTCAAGTCATTTTTGCAACACCACCACCTACCCACAGGCCCTCTTTTCATTGGTCTAGGGAGAAAGAAATCTCAGAAATAGAAGCAATTACTTACATCTATAGGTCATCTCAAAGCTGTCGCTGATGTTCACAATATCAATCTGGGGGAGCAGCTTTGGGGGCTCTGTGAGTTGCGACAAAGCGAATCTAAAAGCGGCATGTTCCTGTGACTGTTGGTTTGGAAAGAGTCCCCCTGTGAGAAAACAAAATGCAGCATGGTATCTGGGACAGAGACAGATTTTAGCTCCCCAGTGACCCACCTTAGTGGGTCCTTTTCTTCTCCCATGCCCAAGTCACTAGTTGTAGCTTTTTGTGGTGGGGGTGAGTTCCACTAGACTCAAGTGCATGCTGAAACTTAACTTCTGCAGCTGAGCTCCTATGTGACAGAGCTCCTCACACCCATTATTCTGCTCAAACATTTAGTCGTGCACCCTTCAGTTCAACTAAAGGCAGAGAAAGCCGTGAGAAGCGTTTCTCTTCCCCTTCCCTTGGGCAAACCACCTAGGAGATCCGTGCTCTTCTGTACCCAGAAATCTTCTCTGTGTCTAACTTGCCTGGGACGAGCCCCATCCCTCACAGAGCCTTATAGGAGGTGGGTGACAGTAAGCATTGCAAGGTGACTAAAATCTAAGTCTGGAATGCTGTGGGCTTCTCTGACATAACTATTTCATTTGACACTTTTGGTCTTTGGCAAGACCTATATTTAGCTATCCTATTGCCTCCAAAGTTTAGTATTCATTTTCCCCTGAAAATTCTTGATTTTCTGTGAGTAGCATTTTAGCGTATTGCTTCTTTCATTATTCGTGTTCCCAGCTACCCAGGAATGACTTGTTACATAAGGGATTGTCACTGTGTGTTTGTGTGGCAGAATCTTGTGCTTCAAGGATGTGGGGTCTCCAGAATGCCAAGAGGTACAATCATCCTATTCCCACAGAAAGCACAGTAAAGCTGCCTGTCGGGGCTCTTGTTCCAAGAAATAAGAGTACAGGGCATCCCTGTGTATTTACTGTGGGCACATACAGTGAATTAAAATAAACTTCTGTGAATTAAAAGCAGTTATTTCTAGAGACTGAACTATATGAATATTTACCGAGAAGTTTGTCTCAGATCTAATAGGAATCGATGTCTCAGTGGAAAGAACTTCTAACTTCTGATACAGTGGGTGCATATTCATTTTTATGAACAGCAAAAACAACAAGAAAATGGATTACAAAGCTTTTGTTAGAGATCTTATTAGTAGAATCAAGTACACCCTGATGGCAGTGATATTTTCAGCATTTGTTCTACAATGTAAGAGGTTTTACCTCTTGTTTGAAAATAGCAACAATAATTTTATCAGCTGAACAAGTCAGTTGGGATTAAACATGATGAAACATCTGCAGACACATGAATAAATGTAGCACTTCTCCATTCATTTCTACCCGGGATGATATATATACACAAATACCCCTAAGGAAAGCAAGTCCACATATCTCTAGGCAAGCAGTTATAACCAGCAAAGTACAGGCAATATGTAAGTACTAACATAAACAGTTCTCTGCATAAGAGCGAGTGATTTTCACATGTCCATATGTGCTCATTTTAAAGAGTAACAACAACAAAAAATCATTCTTGAATTGGATGCTCCACCCTCCTCTCTCGGATGACCACACCCCAAACACTCCTCAGTCCCCTTTCTGGTCTCCAGCAGTGAATGAAAGGAGGAGAAGGGGGAGGGGGAGGGGGAGATGAAAGACTACAGGCTGGGTTGCAGTGGAATTGTCTCCTGAAGACAGGAAGTTTCTCCATGTAGGGCACTAGCACACGTACACACACGTTTCAGAAGGTACCCTAACAGGTGTCAGGAAACAAAGCAAGTTACTCCATGGCCACACCAACCACCCCAGGAACCAGCTAGCTGGAGAGGCCGAAAGAGACTCTACTGCAGCACATGTGTGCCTGACAGAATACCAGCTGCACCACAACCCTCCAACAAACACACTCACACACAAAGAACACAAACTCCCAGCAGTGAGAACTTTCTCTGGTGGAGCTATTTCCCTACGAGGGGAGAAAACAAACCAAGTTAGGCAAGATGCTTCCAAGCAAAGCAGCCTGCTTGATTCTGGGACACAAACAGTCATGAAAGACTGGTCACACGGAAGCCATAGCCCTAGAGACACGCTTTTTTATTGGTGTTATTGTTCTTCTTTGTTTTGCTTTTCCCCATGATCATAAGGATGAGAGGTATCCGTCAGCTCCCTCATAAACAGAGGGAGGGCAGAGGACCATTTAGAAGCATAGAGCCAAGAGAGGGAGATGGGGAACAAAAAGGCATGTGGCGTGTTATATGCTGCCTCAAAGTTGAGGGGATGAAGCCCGGGGATTGGGAGCACTGGTGGTGGTGGGGTACGTGTGCATGTGTCTGTAGGCATGTAGAAGGGAGGCAGTGTCTGTTCACAGGGCATCAAAGAGGAGGGGGTGCAGGAAAGGATGGAGAAAAGACAGGCCAGGAAGTTGCAGGACTGGGGAAGTGAAGACCACCAGCCCAGCATGGCAGCTAGCAAACAGAAGGCAGCTGGGGCGGGGGTTCCAGACAGGAGAAAAAGAGCCTCTCTCCTTAGAGTGGGGGCCTTTTCCATTATCAGCGGCTCAATAAACCCAGCACTCTTACCTCCCCCAGCCCAGAAACCACTGCCTTCACCAATTAAGTGTATTTGTGCACATTCTATACATAATCGCACAGAAATACATCCACAGTACGTATTTATATAAATAAATGAAATCAGGCTCCATCTACCAAGCAACCCAGTTAACTCCTTAAACACCCACAGCCCTGTTCCAAGCTTCAGCCTGATTCCCCCCTGCAAGCAGTGGCTCCTCCATTTCCCATGCTCCCGCTTGGAGTGTGAGTGGCGTGTGTGCACCTGTATGTGTGCATGTGAACACTTCTGCTTCCCCCCCCCGTAGGACAGATGAAGCCCCCTCCCCTCGCTGGCTGCCCGAGTCTCCCGCCCTCCCACTGCTTAGCTTTAGGTAGCCACGCACAGCAGCTGTGCTGAGGAGGGGGTGACAGTCCGCCTCCGAAAAATCCCTTCCAGCTTCAGAAAGTCCCCAGGCCCAGGCTACCCCTCTCACTCACCGATCTGGATATTGTTGGGGAAATTGGCACCTACTACCGCGCCTAGGAAACCGGTGCAGAAGAAGGCAAAAATGTGCTGCATATTCCTTTTTGCATTGGCGAGAAAAAAGCCCAGGTCCAATCATAGATTTGGTGTTTCGCCCCCTTCCTTTCTTCCTCTCACTGTTCTGCCTCTTCTTTTCCTCCAGCGGTTCCTTCCTTCTTTCCTTCCTCTCTGCCTTCCTTCTGCGAGGTTTGTCTCCCTTGGAATCCGAGCACTTAAACTGCAGCGTTAACACCAACTGACAGGCAGATTAACTGAGCGCGGACGGAGGAGCCCGTCCTCATGCTAGCTGGAGCGCTCCCCCTCTCCTCCTGCCTCTCCTCTCCTCTCCTCTCGCACAGCCTGCCTCTCTCTCCCTCCCTGCTCGCTCCCTCTCCCCCTCACACTCACACAGGCAGGCGCTCTGCGCTGATACCCACGGAGCCAGCTCAGAGTTCCACAGCCGACCTCCCCTGCCTGTCGCCCTGCCGCCCCATGCTCACCTCATCCTCCTTTCCGCGTGTGCGGAGGAGGGAGGGGAGGGTGGGGGTGGCGCGCGATGCCTGTTCCCTAAAGGGGCAACCTCGGCGTCCCCTTCAGCCCCTACTTCTAAGCTCGCTCTGCCCTCTCCCAGGTCCCCAGCCTGCCGGATGTTCCTGGGAACGTGGGTTCAGCTGTAAGGCAGTAGGTGGCAGGGGGTCCCCACAAGAGCCCTGGATTCACCAGCTGCTTGATCTAGGTCACTTTTTCTAGGAGTGCTCGGACAGGCTGTGCGGGATGTAGCTCGTGCACTCCACTGGCCCAGTTATGCCTACGACTAATTCCTGAGGGGAAGACCCTAGAAATCCCTCTAAAAAAATTCACAGGAAACAAATCTTCCCCCTCTCCCACGAGGAGTGGGAGCCACAGACAACAGGAGGCTGGAGAATCATGGGCGTCTGCTTTGACTTGGATATTCGGCAGTTCTACCCGCCTTTGGAAATGACATCAGTGGTCTCTTTTACATTGTAGCCATTTAAAACGGGACCCCTTCCCCCTTTCGCCGCAGCCCCCAGGATCTATGGCATCAGGATGTGTGGGTGTACAATAAAAACTTAAGGATACTCTCACAGAGCAATTACATGAGTCATTTTGCAGGGATTCTAGTGAGACATTCAGGCTTCCTTTGGCTATCTCTGGATGCTGGTCATGTCTAGAGTAAGCAGGAACTCCGCAGAACGTGCTGGACCAGAACGTCCACAGAAGCAACCTGTGGAGAGAACAACTGTGTCAGGAAAAAAGTGTGAGTAAGGAAGCAGCAGTCACTAACAGCTATAGAGCACTTTACAGTTCATGAACCCACTTGGAAGTGCTCGCCTCTGTCCTCATACCAACCCTTGGGAAGTGACTGTTTTACAGGTGAAAAGCCTGAGGCTCCAGAGGTTACATCATAAATGAAGACAGACATGCTAAGTTGTACAATCCAGTCTGCAAACATGAATGTCCTGGCCGTTGCCCCGTTGGCCTGCTGTGCTGGACAGAACTTCCACCTAACATGGAATAATCCAGAAAGGGAAAGGTACACTTTTTCCTTAATAACAGAGCAGACGTTAGACCTATTTCTTTTCCACTAAAACAGACCATTTTATCCAACGCTTGCTTACTTCCTTCACAGAAACTGAACAGTTACACGTGCTCATGACAGCTAGAAGGGCTGGGATTGGCAAGAAATACCAGCCTGTGTTCAAAGGAGCCCTTAGAATAGGAACAACTTGGAGGCCAGATACTTTATGATGTCCTATGTTAATGTCCACATTAATTAGCTAGAGTGATTTGTAAAGCTACTGTTTACTCACCATGTATCCTATTCCAGGGCCTATGATGAGCATTGGATCTGCATCATGTTTATTTGTGCAATAATCCCCGTGGTCAGTAATCTCATTCCCATTTTATTGATAGAGAAACTGAAGCCTAATGATTTATCCAGTTTTCCACTGCTGACAAGGAGGAGACTGGGGATTTAAACCCAGGAAACTCTCCTCTCAGGCTCAAACTGTTTATGCTTAGGCTCAAAGAGCAGTAGAATACTACTCTAAGGGTAATAGAATAAGTTTGGGAAACTGGACAAGTAAAGTTTAGAAAGATCACTCCAAAAGATCACTTGCCAATTGTGAAAGTCTGGCATTCAATGATTCTATCTTATACTTTCTCCCTTTGCATTTTTTTTTTCTCCTCTTACTATTTTGAATGGTACCTAGGGATCTTTTAAATTCTCTGAGCTTTGTGCCTGGTAATAATAATAATTAGGCTGTCACTAAGGGCTTCACACTTTTCTGTCACCTTTCAGAGGAAGATCTCAAAACCATTTACAAGGATTAATTAGCAAAGCCTCAACGCCCACCTGAAATGGGGAAAAATTGTTTTGCTTACTGGGAGGGGCTGGAGATTGAGAAGGCAGAAAGATGCGTTTTCTGTGATCATTGTAAATCATGCCATCAGATCTTCTAAATATAGTTCTATGTCACTGCACTGCTCAAGCATGATCAATTGTGCTCTTTGGCCTATTGAATGCAAAATTGTTCAAAGATTAAATAAACATGGAATTTACACATTTCAAGCTTGGGTGTGTAGGTCAAATTACATTTCAGTTCAGCTATTCATTTCTCTTTAAAAATTCTCTTCAGTTCAAATGATGGTGGGGAAGCCACTCTATATTAGTCAAAAGATCAGGGCTTGGGGAAATGGGAAGAAATTTTGCACAGCCTGTTAGAACAGGAAGGCCCATAAGCCTAGCCACTGACATCCGCGGCAGACCAGGAGAAGTGCTTGAATAGAGATGTAAACACAGCAGTGGGAAGGGGAGAAGGAGGCAACTGTCTGTCTGTTCAGCACAGTTTCCAAAGATTTGGACCATGAAGGATGAGGAAATCACAGGCAGAAACCAAGTGCACGGCTGGGAGAAGACATGCAAACAAAGGGAAGAGATCAGCAAGGGCCAGAGGCAAGGGAGGATGCTATACACTCTGTGAGTCTGGAGCTTATGGTGCAAGATTGGGCAGGGAGGGTAGAACATAAAACCCAGAAGAGCACAGGGCCAGGATTTGCAAGGCATTGCATTCCTGTTGGAGGGTGGAGAGCCAGGGGACATTTTCAGTACCTCAGTGAAAATACTAGGTCTGAGCAGGAGGAAGAAAACACTGACCACTGGTAGATGGTGGTTTCTTTAGCCTGAAAGGTTAAAACTATATCCCATCCAGATTCATTGCTCTGGACAACCTATTCCAGTGCTGCTCCTTGCAGCCTCCAATCCCATTTCCTGTGCCCTACATCAGTCTTGGAACAATTGACTTTTTATAGTGTCTTGAGATTGATGATGACCAAACCCTACAGATATGTGACACACTGATTTACACAGCATTTGGACATCCGTCATCTCATCTCTTCCTCCGTCCAACCCTACAAGGACAGGAATTGGAGCTCCCTTTCCAGATTTGGTAAGGCTCAGACTAGTCAGCTAGATGGTTCACTTAAGACAGTCATTCTCAGTGGCAGTAATTTTCCCCCTGGGGGATATTTGGCAGTGTGTAGAGACACTTTTGGTTCTCAGTCTGGGGAAGTACCCCTGGCACCTTATACGCAGAGCCCAGGGATGCCCCTAAATCTTGTAGAATGCATGGTGTTAATACTCTAGCTTTTACAGCAAAGAATTACCTAGTTTGAAACTTAAATACTGCCAAAGCTGAAAAATTTTTTATTGGGTGCATGGCAACAGGCACACCAGGGCCCCAGTTCCGATTTTCCATTCCAGTATATGACATGGAAGAAAGACTCAGTTTATTTTATTTTAAGGCTTTTCACGTTATAAAAAATAGGATCCCTAAAGATGGGCACTCCACAAAGTCCAGGTGGATGATAAGCACCTAATGGAAGGATTCCAGATGGGGACAGGCCAGCGGAAAAGCCTTCCAAACGCGGCTCAAACTGTGCCCCAGAGTCAGCATGGCTCCTACTCCTCCAGCCAAGCCCAGTTCATCCTTTGGCACGCTGCGAGTCCTATGACTACAGAGCCAAATAACTTTGATTTTCTTATTGGGCTTTGGTTCTTCACTGAAAATCGAAAAAACTTGTGTTGGGCAGGGATTTTCAATCCAAATGCCTCCCTGGGCTGAACAGGAAAATGCATGAGGTCATCCAGGGAGAGTGTAGGGCAGTGGCCACAAAGGATACTAATGCCCAGGCCTATCAGAGCTAACTCCAGAGTCTCAGAGGGACACCATTAACGCCACAAGGAAGTGGAGGCTGAGGGTGGTGGATCGTCAGGCTTATTTTTCATGAGAAAATAGTAATATGCCTTTAAAGAAGCTGTTGCATGTGCCTGTGTTGCAAAGGCTGGAAGAAAAGGGAGGGGTGTGTAAAGGGTGTGTTTGGACTGAATCCTACCCAAAGACCACAGAGGACCAGTGGAAGCCAGGACGCAAGAACCGAGCCATCCTTTCTGCACCAGTTTGGGGGCCAAGTCCTTTTCCTCTCTGGACCTCTGTTTTCTCTTCTGTAAAACGAAGGTGTAATTCTGTAAAATGAAGGCTGATGGCCACAGAGTGTTCTGATTCTCACACCAGGGCTCCACTTGACCGCAGAGACAGAGGTGAAGGAGAAAAAGGACAGAGGTGCTACCCGAGGGTACCCTTGTCTCCCCCACCTGCTGTCCGCTGCAGTCCGTGGCCTTGGTACTTTCTTGCCCTCCCCAGGCTCATTTCTCTACCTGTAAAATGTGGGGGTTTTTGGCTTGAACATTTCAGGTTGCTAGTGCGAAACAATTCAAGGGGGGAGAAGATCATCAAATTTATGATCCGAGGACAGATCGCTGACAGCTAACAAATTGGCGCAAATATAATCAGGCGGGGGAGCCTCTGTGGCTTTAGAAAGTCCTCGTTTTCAAAGATGTTTCAGCAAATAATAACGAAAATATTTTCCATGTTTCCTAGCACAATTCATACAGAAAACTCCCAAAATACTCTGTAAACTGTGAGTATGTGTGTGTGTGTGTGTGCGCATGCACGCGTGCATGTGTGTGTGTGTGTGTGTAGCGCACACCCCAAAGAATGTAATTACCCACCCTGGAGTTCTGCCAGGCTTAGCAGCATTTTCTTTCTTTCTTTCTTTTTTCCTTCTTCTCCTTCTTTAGCCTTCCCTCCCCTTCTCACACACATGACAGCATTTTCATAAGCCCTTAGTATTACTAGGTAATTAGGGAGCAGAGCGAGTTCTGGAAAACACCCTGGGGCAGGATCAATGCCTAGAAAAAAATAACTCTATTGGAGGGGGAGGCTGCTGGGCAGCCTTACTGCTACTGGTAGGAGCTGGGAGCGCTGGATGTTGTTTCTCCAAACCAGCGGGGCCCTTGGGAAGGCTGCACCAGCCACGTTCTCCAGGGTGCTGTCCATGGCTCAGGGTCCTGCTGCTCAGCTGGTTTAGAAGACACGGGAGCCAGGCTGTCTTTGCCAGTCTTACCAAATGGGTGAGTTTAGATGAGCCACTGGGCTCCTTTGTGTCGTTATCTTCATCTGTGAGGTAGGGAGTCTACCTACAGAGCTGGCAAGAGCATTCATTCACGGGGAAGGACCTGGCAAGGCTCCAAATGCACACA